GCCTGAATACCGTGCTGTAGGAGGATCGCCAGCACTCGACTAGCGTCTACCGTTACCTCCGTTGTAACACGTTACACTGATTGGAAGCAGTCGGTGGGCGATGCACGTCGAGTTGGTGTACGCTGGTAAGTTCGACCACCCTATCAGTGAGCTGAGAATGTGCAGTGATCGAAATGACGGTGTAGCAGTGGCTCCGTGCAACGGTGGTAGTGTCGGGCGTCGTTCGAATTAAAGGGAGCAATACATCGTTCAACCACCCCACCGGTTCGCAAGGGGGTGGAAGGAACGGCGTGTCGGTGGGTAGCACACGATCACCGATCGTTGGTAGTGGGCACGTAACACGGGGGTAGATCGGTGAAATGGCAGTGGTGGTGAACGATCGTGTCAGAGGGCAATGGATGAAGTCAGTCAGTCGGCGTTCGTTTGCGTCGCCATCGCGATGGAGGAAGTTCATCCGTCGGGGTCTCGTTCAGACGATCCTCCGTGTTGATCGCGAACACGTCGAGTGAGTATCGAATATTCCCTCCCTTATCTTATCTTATTTTACACCCATAGAACTTAACGCTAGAATTACCGATAGTTATGGTGCACTTGTTTGTACCAAAGAAATTGAAACGATAGATACTTGAAGAAATGTGTAATACAATGGAAATAAATGTTTCTTCGTTCTATTATAGAAAAGTACGGTGAATTTTCAAAAATTTAGTCGTGTTAATTTTTTAGAATTTTTATTTGAAGTTACAAGTTCTAGTGTTAATTCATGATATTTACTTATGACAGGGGAACGTGTAAAATATTAGGCGTAGGTACTCGATAATTTTAACCCTTAAATGCATAGTGTCTCTGAAAAACTGTCTTTAACTTCTGATTAAAGTATTAATCATAGTGAAAGTTTTACTTTTGGCTGTATGCCATATCACCTTGGTCCATTCGAACAAAGTTTGAAAAAAAAGGAAATCCGCGCGGTTTTTAATATGACATTTAGATTGACAAATTGTTTTGGCGCGTTCGAAGAAGTTCGTGAAAGTTAGTAGTGACAATACAATTAAATTTTTTGGAGATTTATTCCTGCTAAAAAGATATTTTATAAGTGAGTAACTGTATTTTATGCTGATAAGCATTTTTTTTAACTAAAATACGTAGGTATTGCACTGGTATTTTACTTGATTCATCTGTTTCAAACGTAATACGGTATGCAGAATGGCTATAGTAATCCTATTATATTTCTGAATGAATATTATTTTTTGTATTTTTGCATAGACCTATACAGGGTGTTCGGTAAACCCAGGGAAAAATTTTAATGAGGGATTCTAGAGGCCAAAATAAGACGAAAATCAAAAATACCAATTTGTTGATGAAGGCTTTGTTAAAAAGTTATTAACGTTTAAAGTTCCGCCTGTAATGAATTTTTTTCTAGAAAGTGGGTAGAATTTCAAGGGTATGTCTAATGACCAAAAATTATTGCAATTGACCCCCGCAACCGAAAATAATTTTTCCAGAATGATTTGAAATTTTTTAATTTTGTCGACAAAATTTCACACATTCTCGAATTTTTTTCTTGAAAGTAGATAGGATTTTGAGGGTATGTCTAATGACCAAAAATGATTGTAGTTGTCCCCCGCAACCGACAATAATTTTTCCAGAACGATTTGAAATTTTTTAATTTTGTCGACAAATTTCACATCTTCTCGAATTTTTTTCTAGAAAGTGGGTAGGATTTGGAGGGTATGTCTAATGACCAAAAATGATTGTAGTTGACCCCCGCAACCGAAAATAAATTTTCCAAAAGGATTTGAAATTTTTTAATTTTGTCGACAAATTTCACATCTTCTCGAATTTTTTTCTCGAAAGTGGATAGGATTTCGAGGGTATGTCTAATGACCAAAAATTATTGCAATTAACCCCCGCAACCGAAAATAATTTTTCCAGAACGATTTGAAATTTTTTAATTTTGTCGACAAATTTCACATCTCCTCGAATTTTTTTCTAGAAAGTGGGTAGGATTTCGAGGGTATGTCTAATGACCAAAAATTATTGCAATTGACCCCCGCAACCGAAAATAATTTTTCCAGAACGATTTGAAATTTTTTAATTTTGTCGACAAATTTCACATCTTCTCGAATTTTTTTCTAGAAAGTGGGTAGGATTTCGAGGGTATGTCTATTCACCAAAAATGATTGCAATTGACCCCCGCAACCGAAAATAATTTTTCCAGAACGATTTGAAATTTTTTAATTTTGTCGCAAAATTTCACATTTTCTCGAATTTTTTTTCTAGAAAGTGGGTAGGATTTCGAGGGTATGTCTATTCACCAAAAATGATTGTAGTTGTCCCCCGCAACCGACAATAATTTTTTCAGAACGAATTGAAATTTTTTTTCCCCCGAAAAATTTAGGCACCTACCCCCTTGTCGATTTTTCTTAAAAATTTGTTTGACGCTCTACAGAAAAGTTGCCTAATAGTTTTTTGTAGGTACCCATGAGCTTTGCTTCAGAAAAAAATTTCAATGTGATACCTTTACTATTGTAGGAGTTATGGCCTTTTGAAAATTGGACCAGTTTTAGGGGGTTTTTCTCACTTTACTTAGAATTTCTACATATTCTCCACTAAAATACGTGTTGTTTGCATTTTGAAAAATTAAAAGCCTCCAATCCATTCAGAAGTTATGACATTTTAAAGATACGCATTTGCAAGGTAGCATTTCTGGCCGCACATTAGATTTTTGGTACGGAATTTTTTTCTCGAAAATACGTACGATTCTCGGGAGTATGTGTAATGACCAAAAATGATTGTAATCGATCTCTGCAACCGAAAATAATTTTTTTCTCAGTATAAATCATTACTTTAAATATTAAACAAGATACATTTATTCATACAATAAACTTTCACAATTGAAAAAAGGGTGTTCGGCCACCCCTGGGAAAAATTTTAATAGGGGGTTCTAGAGACCAAAATAAGACGAAAATTAAGAATACCAATTTGTTTATGGAGGCTTCGTTAAAAAGTTATTAACGTTTGAAGTTCCACCCGTATTGAATTTTTTTCTCGAAAATGCGCAAGATTCCGGGGGTATGTCTATTCACCAAAAATGATTGTAATTGACCCCTGCAAACGAAAATAATTTTTCCAGAACGATTTGAAATTTTTTTTCCCGTCGAAAAATTTCACACCTCGAATTTTTTTCTAAAAAGTGGGTAGGATTTCGGAGGTATGTCTATTCAACAAAAGTGATTATAATTGACCCCCGCAACCGAAAATAATTTTTCCAGACAATTTCAAATTTTTTTATTCGTCGAATTTAGGCACCTAATTAGATTTTCGGTAAGGTATTTTTTTCTCGAAAGTGCGTACGATTTCGGGGATATGTGTAATGACCAAAAATGATTGTAATTGACCCCCGCAACTGAAAATAATTTTTTTAGACGATTTGAAATTTTTGAATTTCATTGTTAATAACTTTTTAACGAAGCCTCCATCAACAAATTGGTATTCTTGATTTTTGTCTTATTTTGGCCTCTAGAATCCCTCATTAAAATTTTTCCCCGGGGGTGGGCGAACACCTTGTATACTACTGAACCGGAAATCGAACCCATAACCTCAAACTTCCGTCTATACTAATGGTACATAAGTACGGTTTATAACTTTAATTGTTTACATCTTTAAAATCATTAAGTATATACGCCTAATATTTTACACATATCATTAAGAAGACATATACTATCACCTTGCTTAGACCCGTTAAAATCGAAGTCGAACAGTTGGTGTCCTATGACGTACACAACAGAAGATACACTTGTAAAGCTTTTTAACATATCAATCGTATCTAATTCCTAAGTTAAGAGAGGAAACCAAAACCACTGTGACGATTGAAAATAAAGGCAATTTTCAAGAATTCTTTGGGCGCAACTATGACACTTTTTCTGATATATGTTTAATGTCTTGAAAAGTACATTTCTCGAATTGCTTCTCATAAAAATTTCGGATAAACATGCATATTTATTATTATAAACATAATAGCAACCAGCGTCAGAGGCTTCCAAACATTTGTTGGAAACGGGCAGACGTGTAATTTTTCACTGGAAATTCTAAAACAAGAAATCATGGAATTTTCTTAAACTATAAGACAGTAGATTCAGTTGCACGTAGTGATTTGTAAAAATAATAATTTAGTATAAAATGGTGGAGCTTTGAAGAAAAGATCACAAAAAACTGTGACAAAATCAATATTTTTTTTAACCCCACGTCGAAACTAATTATTCGATCCAAAATTCCATACGTGCAACTGAAGAGACTAGTATTAAGAACCACCATACAAAATTTTAATTAAATCGGATAAAAATTGACTGAGTTATTGAGCCTCCCAGTTTGAAAAAGTTGTTTTTGAGGAAAATGCGTTTAACACGTTCACTGTCCAATCTCCCAGCGGCGCATCAAATAGCACGATGATATGACCCATATACGGGTCATAGACAGTGAACGTGTTTAAAGTTTCATCCGCTTGATACAAACACTCTTCATTCACACCACTAATCGCTCTAGACTAAATACTCTTGCTCCACATAGTTATCTCGATCCAAACTCTTCCTGTTCAAATGAAAACTCGACCACAGCAGAAATAATAAAAGAGTTTCAAACGAATGTCGAAAAGTAAACAGCAATTAGTTTCAAGCGTTATGCATAATACGTTTTTTACATCTACTAAATCTTCTTTAACTTTGTCACTTTTGGGAATTTTATTTTAATATTGTAGGAGGTCATTCTTAAAACACCAAGCATTGGAAAGAGGTAAAAAAAATTTCAATTTTTTCACTCCGTCACAGTGGTACTCCCCCCTTAAAGTGCTAGGTATCCAGGATTTTAGTTGTTCCAAACTTTTTCCTAAAATTTAAAGTTTTCCATTTCTAAATTCTTTTAAACTGTTTCCTTGAAACTGGGAATTGGCAACGATTTTGAGCGAACGAAATTGCTGTAGAATGTAGTCTCAGCGCGTTCCTTCGAGCATCGGAATGTCAGGACCTGGAAAATCGACGAGACCAGTCAGGCAACTGTCTTTGCAACCAACTGCGCCGCGTCGACAACAGATCAGACGACAGAGATCCGCGGAGGATGACAAATCGTCGCAAGTCAGTGCTGGTCCACTTGCGCGTGGCAAACGGGGAACCAATGGCAAACCTTGTTCCGAGAGACTCAAGGTATCCCTAAACGTTTAAGGAACACTATAGCACGAAGGTTTCCAAACTCTCCCTTTTCACAGTGCAACGACTTACAAAGGGGACCTTTCAGTCGTCGGAATTGCTTTTGAAACGATAGCAGGTGCAAGTTATAGTATGTAGCTAGTAGCAATAAACCCTAGTAGGGTTCTTCACAATGGGTCTTCGTTTTCGAGATATTTTGATTTAAGGGGGTCTTCTACCGTGAAACGCGTTCTTTATGTTCACTTTGGTATTTTTTTATAAAGAAACTATGCATGTTTTTGCATGGACGTTTCGTATATATATTTATTACTCTTTCAGTAATATTCACAAATTTTTATAACGAGAAATAGTCAAAATTAATGACAGTACAGAACCTGGTACACAAACGCGTACCGAAAAAGTGTTCTAATGGCTTCCATGATTCCAGCCGTTCTATTTGTTTAAGTCAGAAAAATGAAAAAGATTCTTAATTAGGATACATTTTTCTATAGCCGGTACTAAAAGGACAGAACAAAATTGATAATTGAAAAAATTACAGCATTTTGAAAGTGAAATATCGATTTTTTTCTTGCTTTTAACTTTAACTAAAAATGCTAAATGCTTTTGCGATATGCTTTTGCACACATATTTTTAAGACTATATCCTTTAAGAAAATGCAAAAACAAAAAAATCGAATTTTTTTGAGGTTTACAGTAGAAAATACCCTTTAACTTTAGCAGGCTACAATAAAATAGAAAGAATAATGATTTTGACTTCATTGTAATCCAAACTATAGTGACACATGTACTGAAGGTACACGCCAAATTTGAACGAAATCGGTCGAGTAAATCTTAAGATATCATGGAAGCCAATACAGAAAAGATAGTTTCAAATAAAAGACTTTTTATTTGAGATTTGATTGAGTCGGTAAAGCGATTAGCTACGAATCTTTTGGTAATGGGTTCGAATCTTCGCGAATTTACTTTTTTTTTTTACTATTTTGGAATGCAAATATTATTTATTATGAACATATTACATAAATATTAAGGCAAAAATACTTGAAGAAATCCTTAAATCCTTAAGTAGTAGTAAGTTCAGTAGTAAAATAGCATTGTATGTCGGATATATTTTTCTATATTAGTCATTCATATGTATCAGTATCAAATAAATTCTGTATTAGTATTATTAAATTCTATATTTGAAATTTTTCCGAAAATCATAAGAATATTAAGAAAATCATAATTTACTTGATGATGACACATAATGCTATTTTACTACTGTACTTACTACTGTTTTTTGTATTAAAAATTGAAGGATTTTTTGTTTTAATATTTATATCATATATACATAAAAAATAAAATATATTTTTGCATTTTAAAATAATAAAAAAAAAAAGTAACTTGGCGGGGATTCGAACCCACTATCAAAAGATTAACCAAATCTTAACCTAAAAACTGAGTTCAAAGAATTCTTTTATCGTGTACGTACTAAATTTTAAATCAAAATATCTCAAAAACAAAGGCAAAGGCAAAGGTGATGAAATCTGTTAAGGTTTTTTAGTGTTAGGTATACTATACCTTGCACATCTTATCTTTTCAAAAGCAATTTCCACGACTGTAAGACCCCCTTGTTCGTGGAACAATACAGTGGAACACTTTTTTCTGTTTATGATTTTGGACGACTCACTATTTTTAGTTTGTTTAATTTGTTCGAATTAATTGATTGCAGGATAGCTATTGCAGATCAGATTTAGAATCTTTAATGAGTTCTTTGTTCCTTTTAGTTCAAGATTATACAAATTTTTTTTTACAACTTTATACAAATTCATATTTTTATTAATAGAATTAATGAAATGGGAGCTTTGTAAAGTGTCGTTTCAACCCCTAAATATTATAATTCGTATTTTACTTTAAGTATTTCTTAAATTTTTGCATGTTAAGTGCGTTCCGTAAATTTTTGAGAATTAAAATTTCCCACGAACATCACAAAAATTATTTATCATTTTCAGTTACCATACTTTTCAAATATGTCCAATTTATGCAACTGGTTTTTAACATTTGATTCAAATATCTTAAATATTTTCAAAAGAAACTGTACCCCCATTCAGTTTTGAAAATATCCACTAAAAACCACGTCTGTGATAATTTTATTTAATCTACATAGACGAGCAAAATTTTTGTTTAGATTAAAATTTTCAATAATAAATAAAAATTAAACGTCTGTTTATTCATTTCGTGTTAAATAAAAATAAAAATTTCGATTGGGGAATGAAATATTTTAAGCAAGAATTCAAATAAAATGAAAGCTGAGTAGGAAACAAGTTTATTTATTTTATATAAATTATATTAATCAATATTCATAAAATTTAAAAATACAATACACTTTTAAGAAAAGAAGAAAAATAAATAAAATTTATTTATCACAGAACTCGCATAGAAAGCCTGTAGATGTGCTTCCACCACCACTGCAATCTTCATGTGCCCACAAATTACATTTGCAACACATGATCCAGTCTTCACTTGGTGGGTCTTAGTACTTTCCATTGCAATAAGTACAATAATATTAATTTTCCTTATTACTATCTCTATCTTTCTCCTCATCTTCTCTGGTAGTTCGTTTTTGTTCTTTCTATGTTGTTATTTTCAAGAATTTTAAGATTATTCCTTTCTTTCTTGGTCCATTAGTTTCAGTCTCTATTCTTTCTTCTGCTATTTTTCATTAAAAACTTCTTTATTCCACGCTTTGATCGTACTATAATTATTTTTGCCAACGATTGTTTCGAAAATTATTGTGAGTAAAAAAAAATAACAGAGAAAAAAGTTTTATAGTAAAATTTTTTATGATTAATAGGACAGTGTATATCAAAGCATATTTACATTATTTTGCGAGAAATGAAGATTTTTTCATTCGGGAAAAAATTTATCTCGAAAAGCCAACCCTTTTTTAATAAAACTGAAAAAACATCTCGATACGATCAATAGTTTCCAAGATAAAAATTCCTAAGTACAATCCATTTTTAAAAAAGTCGTAAACTTTCTTGAGCCGTTCATAATCTCGCGGCAATAAGCACGCGGACAAGTGGCGCCACCTATAATAAGACTGAAGATCGTGCGTGGATTCCCGTGGCTTTTGTTCGAGTCGAGTCGTTTTGTTCGAGCCGCATGGTTGGCATCGCAATTACTGCAATTTATTTATATTAAACTATGTAATACCTAAAGAATAATAAAAGAGGTTGTGTTTAACATTTAAATATTGTCTATACGATATATTTATTCAATCAGTACCTATGCAAGAGGACCTGATATTTTTCAACAAACTGTAGAGGTCTGTATTTTTTAAATAAATTCGAAACTAGCAAAATGATGACTTAAACTACCCCCAATATCGTATAATCTACATTATATTCAATTTTAAACAAAATCCCAAATATCGAGGGAAAAAATGATCAATTTGACATGAAAAGACCGTAATGTAATCATGTGATCATTTAGTCGTTGTAATCTAATAATCAAAAACAAAATCTTTAACAATTAAAATAAAAATTTCTAATTTAAGGAATGGTTTTCCAACTAGATATTATATGGAGAGTCTGTAATATTTGTTTCAAAATTAATATTAATTTTTCTTTTTCTACTTGTTGCTGTTTGTAATTTTTAAAAATGTAGATTTAAAGACAAACAGAAAAGTCTCGTACATCACGCTATAAATAAAATAAAAGAAACTACAATTTCGCGATCAAAAAAAAATTGATTCGCGCAAAAATCGGATATTGAAAAATCGATTTCGAATCGAACATTATTAGTACATAGCATTTCGAGTCTCAGATTAGTTAAACTTCGGTAATTGTAATATTTCATTCGTCGTTCGCCATTTTGTAATTTTTAACAACGTCAAAGGAAAATCGTTCAAAGAAACTGCACAGAATTTATATTTCATGAATGATTATCAAAAAAGTTAAATATGCAAATAAAATTATTAGGAAAATCAAGAAGTATCCTACGTTAAATGCAGCGAAATTGATCAGTGAATTTCTAGTAAGAAAGTGTTGGAAATGTTTCTCATTTCCATGTTGGCAAACATGCATGTGTTGGAAATATTTCTCTATTCCTCGTTGGCAAACCTGCACACCATTCTTTTGTTTCAGTATAGCAGTTGAATTAGTTGAATAGCGTTTAGTATTATGCATGTAACGATTCGTGCAATTTTTAAATAAAACCTAAAAAGTATATGTGTCCTTTTATTGTCTAATCCTATAACCTCTGCTACAGAAAGTATGAATATTAATTTTATTCGCTGTAGTTTAGTTATTTTTTTGCTATAAATTTAGAGCTATTTCGCGAAAGCACAGTTTCAGTATCACTGCTTATAAATTACAATTATAATATCGAAACAAATATTTAACACTAGATTTACCAGCTATTTAATTATACCTATTTCTACCAAGATCAGTCAGAATGACTGGTGTTTAGAAAAAGTGTTCAGTGGGATTTCCAGTCTTCATTTACTTTTAAAAATTGACAAAAAAAGATTAATAATATTAATTGTAATACATAAATAGATTTATTGCCATTATCAATTAATCAAACACTTAATTGTTTGTAGTTCATCGGTCACAATTTTTACATACGCTGATTTTGCTCTGTGTGCACTTTCTGCATACATTTTTTTTGCATATATTGCAAATAATTGTGGTCTTATTATTGCAATATCCTATTTGACGGTGCCATTTGAACTTGATATATTAGCTTCTTGTGGTATTTCCCACGAAGTCTGATATTCAGAAGCAAGTTCTTCAGCTAGACGAAATAAAAAGTTTTTCCTTGATATATTTTCACCTGTCGTGTTTTTATAAAATATCCAGCAAATTTTTATGCTTTTATGTTTTGTACTTAGTACAAGTACTTTCTTATTCGGTTTACTCTTGTAAACTGTTAGTGTATATCCATTTAATTTGTACAGCAATGTTGAGAAACGAACCATGCTATCTTTCTTCTGTTTGCAAATTTTCGGGATTTCCCTCTTGTTTGCACGTATTGTTCCAAGCAACAAAGTCTTTTTAGATAATAATTTCAACCCCAGAGGCAAACTGGTAAAGAAATTGTCCATTGTTATGGTTCTACCTTTCAAAGTATATGGTTCTACAAGTTTCAGTACAACATATTCACTTAGTAATAAAACCTAACCCATCCCTCACTTAGTGGGGATGATGAATCTCGAACCTCATCTTTTCCTAAATAAGGAAAGCCACTTATTACCTATTTAGTTTCAACGTCAGACACCAGCCAAAATTTTATGACAAATTTCTGAGGTTTGTTTGGCATATATTGTGTGAACCTGCGTCTGGCCTTCGTTGGAAAGAGTTGCTCAGCCACCGTAATATAAGCTCTTGGTTTGAAACAATTTTGGCTATTTTCAATAAATTTATCCCAAACTGTTGAAACTAATGCGAATTTGTCTCTCTGTAAATGTTGACTCTTCTAATTTCTTTTGTCGAAACAAATGTAAATATACAATTCCAAGGGCCGCTATACGTACTGCATCAGAATCATGATTTGAGTCATTTCATGACATGGAAACATGCACCAGTCATTTTGACTGGTACTGGTATAAGTGTCAATAACAAAAAATATATTTGTTACGAATACATACAAAAAATAATATAAAGTTCATAAAACTGATTCTTTAGTTCTAGCTACAAAAGTAATGACATCATTTTGGAAATGAAATGTTACATGCAGTAGGAATTTTGAATTGAAATTGCAAGACCAGTCAAAATGACTGGTCTGGTAAATCTAGTGTTAACGGTTGCATTAGAGTCTGATTAATCGTCGAGTTGCAGGTTCGCGTCGCCTGGAGCGAGAATCGCCAGAAGAATGGAAAAGATCTCGAGCATATTGAAGTGGTGGCTCGTCAGATTCCTGGACGTTCCAGGCCGGCCACCGGAAAAACGAGGGGTTTCAACGTGAACGAGAAACCGACGATCCTTTATTCCAGACAGGAGCTCGCGGAGAGACTGAGACTCGCCTGGAAGCATCGCGAGGAGAACAAAGCTAACATCAACATTTTTTTGGCTCACGGTATCTTGCAAGAAAGATGCGATTCCGAGATGTCGCAAGACATCACAACACAAGACAAACGTGTCGATGAGGATTACACGGAAAAAGGAACGGAGAGTACTACGGACAGAAAGTCTACCACAGTTTTAGCGAACAGTGAAGACATTCCCAACAAAGATGGCGACGAGTTGTCAGATTTTCAGCACTCTTTCGCTGAAATAGAAGAAATTGCAGACGAAAAGGAAACTTCTGAACGCGGGGGTAGAAAGTGGGAAGAGGCGAGCAACGCGGAAGAGAAGCAAACAGACGTAAGTCGCATGTAATGCAATTTTAATATTAACTTACTCGTTTATAATTCGAATTTTGAATTTTTTTAAAATCATATAAGACAGTGATAAACTGTGCAATGTATAACAATATACATTAACACGCTAACTGCCATAGTGTTTCAAGTTTACAACGTTGTTGGATTCCAGTAGAATCGACAACACTTTATTTTCTTAAGAAACTCGTACAATTTGTATTAGGTCGACTAACCAGGAACCATCGCGAACGGTCCGGCTTCGATTTTGATGAAACTTTGTACACTTATAAAGCAGCCAAAAATAATCGACACGTATTTTTTTTTAGCTGCGGTAACTCGAGTTTAAGGGGTGAAACCACCCCTTGAAGTTTTGGCTCGAAACGGCTATCTCGAAAACGGAAAGACATACAAAAAAATTGTTAATGATCGAGGTTGATGGTTTCTTATGTACAATAACATGGTGTTAAAAAATTTAAAAAAATACAATTTGTTTATAACAAAAAAAAATTTATTAACTTAATTTTTCATTTTATTGAAATTTTCATAATGACAAAAAATGACGAGCATTTTATTCCAAATCCATTGGTATGCGATTTTTTAAAATTGCCTCCTACAGTTTTGCAGATTTTGATGATTTACATCTTGCGCGCACATTCATTATGGTAGTAGCCGTTCTAACTTTGATTTTAATGAAGCACTGTAGGCTTGCACTACTTCTAGAGGACAAAATCGGGAAAAATACAAGAATACCAATTTGTTGATGGAGGCTTCGTTAAGAAATTATTAACGTTTAAAGTTCCGCCCGTACTGAATTTTTTTCTCCGAAATGGCCAAGATTTCGGGGGAATGTGTAATGACCAAAAATGATTGTAATTGACCCCTACAACCGAAAATACTTTTTTTAGAACGATTTGAAATTTTTGAATTTAATTGTTAATAACTTTTTAACGAATCCTCCATCAACAAATTGGTATTCTTGATTTTCGTCTTATTTTGGCCTCTAGAATCCCCCATTAAATTTTTTCCCAGGGGTGGCCGAACACCCTGTATAATTATAAGTTACATATCTATCTATGTATATCTATACTATTATTTAAAGAGAGAGCTGAGTTTTATGTTCGCGCAAAACTCAAGACCTATTGAACCGATCTTTCTCAAATTTTGACACGTTATTCTTGCATACTCTAGGACAGAGATAGGCTATGTAGCATGTCTCAGAAGCGCGTTATTAACATGTAATTTATATGCAAAGATTTCATGTGTACGACTGTTTGGCAGACCACGTGACCCCTGTATACGACAGTCTACTTGCGCGCGCATGCGTATATTCGGCCCGCGCGATACCTCGCCCGTAGCAGTACTGCGATGTTACCACCAGGTGGCGAAGCTTCTCGAGCGCTTTCTCGCGAGAGAATTGCATTATCGCGGATATATATGTCAAGACGATCGTCTGGTCATAAATTGTAAATACAATAGCTCCAGACCCTATATTCAATGCTACCGTTGTCAAGCCTTCGGACACTCTTCAGTCAATTGCACTAAGAACCCCGCCTGCGTAAAGTGTGCAGGACCCCACCACACCAAGGACTGCGTCAAATCCCCAACCACCCCAGCCACCTGCTGCAACTGCAAGGGCGCCCACCCGGCAAACTACAGCCAGTGTCCCTCACTTCTAAACTTCCTACAAAAGAGATCCGCTAAAACCCACCCACTCAAAGCTTCCCAAATTACCCCCACAATAGCCAGCCTCCCTACCCCACCCGCAATCCTCCTCCAACCAACCAAGCCATCCCAAGCTCCAACATTCCAGAGAACGTACGCCAACGTAACCGCGAACTCCACTCCCAAACCGAAAAACCCAAATCAGCCAGACCTCACCAACCTCTTTTCCAAGGCGCAAGCCATTAATGAACTATTAGACATCTCCAGCATGGGAGCCGCCTTAGACTTCCTATATAGTAAACTAGTAACATGCCAAACAAAAGTACAGAAACTCCAAGCCTTCTTAGAAGCCGCCGAGCTTATAAATGGCTAATCTCCCCCCCCCCCAAAATAATCCTATGGAACGCCACCAGCATCCTCAACAAAATCCCAGAACTCCAACTCTTCCTTGAACATCACCAAATCCAAATAGCCCTCATCTCAGAAACCTGGCTAAAGCCAGCTGATTCCATCCGACTCACCAGATATAACATCATCCGAAACGACCGCCCAACCTCAAAAGGAGGAGTGGCTATCATAATACACCAGAGCCTAAAATTCGATCCACTCCCACTGCCGTTCCTGGACAACGTAGAAGCCACATTCATACAACTCTCCAATAACCCTAAAACCATCATAGGCGCAGCCTACCTACCTCCCAGCAAACGCTTCACACAGCAAGACCTGAATGCATTAACCACACACAATCATAAATTCATAATTGGGGGCGACTTCAACGCCAAACACACCTGCTGGAACAACACGAGCACAAGCACCAACGGCAAAACACTATATACACATATGACAAAAAACTCGTACCATATTGCACACAGCGACACATACTCCCACAAACAACCTCGGGCCAGACCCTCGAACATAGACATCTTCCTAACAAATTCCTCCCACTACACCGAATGCTACACCATCCACGACCTACCCTCCAACCACCTCCCAATTATCCTAAAGCACAACACAAACAGCACAAATTTCACAAACTGCACAATCTCCACCACCAACTGGCTCCAATTCCGCAACCAGGGTAGCAACTACCCTATCAATGCGCACCTTAACACCACACAGGACATAGACCAAGAAATTTCCAAAATCCAAAAATCAATCCTACGATACCACAATAGAGCAACTACCACTACCCATGCTTACTCCAAAACCATCAAGCCAGACCTAGAGCTCATCAACCTCATCAAACTCCGAAATCGATACAGGCGCAAATACCAGAACACCGCTAACCCCCTGCACAGACACCTCAAAAACACCCTCACAAGCCAAATTAAGACCAAGATCCGAGACCTCAAAAACACCTCCTGGAACCGCAGGCTCTCCCAAATCGACTCCAACCCCACCACCCTCTGGTCAACCTACAAAGCCCTGAAAAATAACAAACACACCATACCTCCTCTCACAGCCAACAACACCACGGCATTCACCAACTCCGATAAAGTGGAACTCCTAGCCAAAACACTCTACCTACCACCCCCTCAACCTAATAACACCCCTACAGACCAGGAAGCCGATCTCCTTGCTCAGAACCTAGCCTCCTCCGACACCACTCCACTCAACCCACAATCCATCACCCCACAATTAATCCACAGACTAATAAGAAACCTGAAAAACAACAAATCCCCAGGACAAGACCAAATTACAGCACTCCAACTCAAAAACCTACCCAACCGAATGATCATCCAGCTTTACTACATCCTCAGGCAATCCTACAACCTGGCTTACTTCCCCAGCTCCTGGAAAACATCTAAAGTCATACCCCTCCCCAAACCAGGGAAAGCTCATACCAACCCCAACAATTATAGACCAATCAGCCTCCTGAGCCTGCTAGGCAAAATCCTAGAGAAAATCATCCTGATACAAATACAATCCCACCTCTCAGAAAACAACTCCCTAATCCCAGAACAATTTGGCTTCCGAGCCAAACACTTCACAATCCACCAAGCCCTCAGACTGCAGGAAGACATTGCGCTAGAAGTGAACAAGAACAGATCGGTGGCTCTAGTCCTACTAGACCTCCAGAAAGCCTTCGACACTGTCTGGCACAATGGACTCCTGCTAAAACTACAGCATATTAACCTCCCCAAACATCTAATCAAGATAACCCAAAGCTTCCTACACAACAGATCGATGACTGTAAACCACAATGGCACAAAATCCACACCCAGACCACTACACACAGGAGTCCCCCAAGGGTCAGTCCTAGGCCCCACACTATTCAACATATATATAAACGACATCCCCAGAAGCCACAACACCAAAATCGCACTCTATGCCGACGACACTGCTGTCTACTCCTCCTCATGGGCTCAAAATCAAGCGGTAAAATACGCGCAAGACCACCTCAATAGCATACATCAGTATACCCAAACCTGGAAGCTTACCTTAAACCCCTCCAAAACAGAGGCAATCCTCTTCACCTGCAAGCGCAATCCCAACCCCACCAACCTCTCCATAGACAACCACCCCATAATCTGGTCTAACAAAGTCAAATATTTAGGAATCTGGTTCGACACAAAACTACAATGGAAACATAACACACAAGACCGAGCCTGCAAAGGCATCGGAATCCTACGCATGCTTTATCCCCTCATAGCCAAAAACAGTCCACTCTCTACCTCTCTGAAACTCCGCATATACTACACCTGCGTACGCCCAATCCTGACATACGGAGCAGAAAATCTGGTGCACCACAGCCAACACACACCTGTCCAGGATTCAGAAAATACAGAATAAGTATCTCCGCATCATACTAAACAAACCCCTATCACCGGAGAATCGCCACACAACTGCTTCATTGCATGAGGAAGCACAAATAGAATATATTCGCGAGCATGTCATGAAGCTGGCCGCAGCAGCTCAAATCTCCAACCTACATCACCCAAATCCCCTAATAGCCACGCTAGGGAACTATGACCCCATCACCATCCCACTAAAAACGCGGATAAAAACACCCAGACTCATCCTAAACTAACAACCCCCCACTATCAAACTAACCGCATGACGCATGAAAACGAGGTTTTTGAAAGTTTTCCCTCGAGCCTGAACGCATGAAATACCATAACCCCACATTACATAAATATATACCAGGCACTAATAATTATCCTAAATGCAGGTTATAGGGCCCCCTGCCCCAGGTACTGCAGCTAAACGTGAATAATAACAAAAAAAAAAAAAAAAGAAAGTGGTCATAAATTGATTTTGCACAAGGTCGGACGAAGCCGAGACGGGGCATGCTAGTTAAATATATAATAAATGTTAAAACGCATCACGTCTAAAGTTAAAACTTAATGCCCAACAAACATTTTATTTGTAAATTGTTTTGCGCCACTGGCGAATCTGCTACAGTATTTTCGTTCTTTCTTTTCGTTCATAGCGACTACCCAGAAGTTCGAACGTCGACGAGCATCCTTCCAGCTCGAAGAAGAAGTCGTCGTTGAATATCGACTACTCAAATATCCGCGATTTGTCCTCGTCATTGCCGTCGATTAAAAATGAAAGTTCGACGTCGGTTGCCGTGAAAACGTCGAAGGACGATTTCTCCACCGCCAAGCAAAAGCGGGCGAGTTTTCACAGCGGCGGGAACAAGGCGTTTCTCGAGCCGATCAGATCGTCGATAGAATCGAAATGGTGTCCGGTGGTGGACAAAGCTGCTCAGCAGAAACTGACCACGGACGCCAAGAGCGAAAAAGGCTCACCGACGCAAAAAAACTTGGAGAGCAAAGATAACGTTACGTTCAACAGAGCTGCGGTCGCAAAGAACCCGTCGGAGATAAGATGTGGCTCGATCGAGAGGAATGCACGCACGAGAACCACGGTCGAGAACAAAACGATTTCATCATCCTCGGAAGATGATAAAACGATTGATCAGAAAATAAGCGATAATAAGATTTCTTCGACGATAAAAAAGACTGCTTCTACGAACAATATCGCGGAGAACAAAGATGGTTCCATCGATAAGAATATTTACGCGAGAAACGCGTCCGATGTTGCATGTGGCGAGAAAAATTCATCGTTGAAGAAGATGATAGAACCTCAGAAGATCGAACAGAAATCGAGGAGGACCAGCTCGGCACCGCCGCAACGTCACTTGGGAAATGCTTCGACGAGTAATCGTGTTCAGGTCAATATCGTAATCAACCCATCGAGTACTCCAGCTTCGGGAAAGAATAACGATCAGGAGAAGACGGACACGGATTGCAAAGATAACAGAATAGACACGGCCTCCACAAAGGTACAGTGATTTAAAAAAAAATTTATTCTTTTGTGATAATAAACTACACTTGTACACGAAAGAATGATTACATTTATGGCAGACAACTAATGAAATATACAGGATGTTTGGCCACTTTTGGGAAAAATTTTAATAGGTGATTCTGGAGACCAAAATAAGACGAAAATCAAGAATACCAATTTGTCGATTGAGGGTTCGTTAAAAAGTTATTAACGTTTAAAGTGCCGCCTGTGAGACGGCAACGCGCGAACAGCTACGCTCTCATGCTGAGTGAGAACCACTGTCACGCGCAAGCAGTTTGCAGATTGCCGTTTTACAGGCGAAACTTTAAACGTTAATAACTTTTTAACGAAGCCTCAATCAACAAATTGGTATTCTTCATTTTCGTCTTATTTTGGTCTCCAGAATCTACCATTAAAATTTTTCCTAGAGATGGCCGAACACACTGTATATGTATGTTAAACTGAAACACTTTTGCAAACCACTCAATTAACAGTAGAACTACCAACAATTATGGTGTATTTATTTATACTAAAGGAATTAACACTTTGACTGCCACGTCATCCATATATGGGTGACAGGATTCTTTACTATGGAACTGTAATAGAACAATTAATTCTCAGGATGAAATGTTAAAGTTGAAATTTAAACAGAATTTCATGAATTTTAGTGAGGTTATAAAAATAAATGGTAAAACAAATTTTGAGTTATGTAGCTTATAATTGTCTAAAATCAAAGTTTTGGTCCCGCAAAGAATTGTATAGTTTTGGTCTGGCAGTCAATGTGTTAAAACGATAGATACTTGAAGAAATGTTTAATACAATGGAAATAAATGTTTATTCGTTCTTTTGTAGAAAACTACGGTAAATTTTCAAAAATCCAGTCGAGTAAATTTTGTACAATTTTTAGTAGACCTTACGAATGGGTCATTTTGATCACTTCGGTAGTTCTAGTGTTAACGTTTTCTTTTATAAATACATTTACAGGATGTCCAAAAAGGTTGGGATTAAAGTTATACTAACAAAGGAAATTCGGGATCTCGGAAATTCAATAAATTATGAAACTTTGTGTACAGCTAGAGTAGGTCATCTAAGGGGTGAAATCACCCCTTAAAGATAATGCAAATTTATCTTTCTCATCGAATATCCCGTGAACGATGAGAGATATCGAAAAAAAGTTCAAACAATGAATGCAAGCTATTTTTATATTCACCAAAATATGTAAAAAAAATTTTTTAAATATCGATACCTTTCGAATTACCCCCACCACCACTTCTTAAAATTCATTTTTTGATTTTTTAAATTTTATGCAAAAATAGTTTACGGTACCCTCTATCCATCCATGTAAATAGTTTATTTTATACATTTTTTTATAAATAAATAAAGCGTCTATTTTCGAATTTAAAGTCTGCTCTAGCAGTTTTTATTATTAGAGTGGTTTCATAATACATACCTAACATTATCATTTGGACAAATTTCAGGCTGTAATATAGAATTCGTTAAAATTAATTGATCACGTGTACGATTCGTAATGGCAGTATACAGGGTGTTCGACCACCCCTGGGAAAAATTTTAATGGGGCATTCTACAGGCCAAAATAAGACGAAAATTAAAAATACCAATTTGTTGATGGAGGCTTCGTTAAAAAGTTATTAAAAATTAAATTCAAAAATTTTAAATCGTCCTGGAAAAATTATTTTCGGTTGCGGGGGTCAATTACAATCATTTTTGGTGAATACACATACCTCCGAAATCCTGCGCATTTTCGAGAAAAAAAATCGAGTAGGCGCTGAAATTTATTGGCGAAAAAAAATTTTTCAAATCGTTCTAAAAAAATTATTTCTCGTTGCGGGGGTCAATTACAATCAGTTTTCATCATTAGACATACCCACGAAATCCTGGCCACTTTCGAGAAAAAAAATAGGGAAGGTGTGAAATTATTCGACAAAATTCAAAAATTTCAAATCATTCTGGAAAAATTATTTTTGGTTGCGGGGGTCAATTACAATCATTTTTGGTGAATAGACATACCCCCAAAATCCCACCCACTTTCTAGAGAAAAATTCGAAAAGGCGTGAAATTTTTCGACGGAAACAAAAAATTTCAAATCGCTCTGGAAAAATTATTTTCGGCTGCGGGGGTCAATTACAATCATTTTTGGTGAATAGACATGCCCCCGAAATCCTGCGCATTTTCGAGAAAAAAATTCAGTCAGAGCGAAACTTTAAACGTTAATAACTTTTTAACAAAGCCTCCATCAACAAATTGGTATTCTTGATTTTGGTCTTATTTTGGCCTCTAGAATCCCCCATTAAAATTTTTCCCCGGGGTTGCCGAACACCCTGTATACATACTAACATGAGTATGTGCATTGCTTAAAGTACTTTCACCAATAATTTTATGATTCATTGTATATTGTGAATTCATATGAAAATGCGTTTAAATCGCAATTATACTATTCACAAAATTATTTAAGGGGTAAGACCAGTGTAAAAACCTCAAATAAAGCGTTTTTTTGTCATTTTTTTTTTTTTATGGATGGAAAAGTAAGAGGATAATAATATTCAAGAATGTTATTAACCATATCGTTAAGTGTTAAAAAAAACTATTTATTGATAAATAGTGCAAAATGACAACGCTGGTGGAGCCACTCTCACGAGGCGTGTTTTGAATTTGAGGCACTCTGATGCAAATTTGTATCCGGTAAAAAACAAAAAATTTTCTCTTAATCTACATAAGTATAGCTAAAGAAATACGTAGGAGATCTTCGATTAGTTAATTTTAACATTATTTATTGACAAATAATTGCCCTATGTTTTGTACAAAATTGAACTTTCTATTTCAAATGCTCGCCAATCACACGAAAATTAATGTTTCAAAAATCACCTACTTCTCTAACTATACTCATGTAGATTGAGAGAAAATTTTTTGTTTTTTCTCAGATCAAATTCAAAACACGCCTCGCGAGAGTGTCTCCAGCGTCGCCATTTTGCACTATTTTTGAATAAATATTTTTTTTTAACACTTAACAACATGGTTAATAACATTCTTGAATATTATTATCCTCTTACTTTGCCATCCATAAAAAAAAAACAATTGCAAAAAAACGCTTTATTTCAGGTTTTTGCAGTGGTCTTACCCCTTAACAAACATAGACCCCAACAATCTTTCACAGATTTTAAAAATTGCCCTCAGAAACGAATTTTCACCTTCACGAATTTTTCAATTTTTTTTTTTTGCAGAATTTTATAATTCAGGGAAAAAACGTTTCATGCTTCTCGTGTGAATGTGATTAGGTGTCATCGGGACGATCGGTGAGATCAGCGCCGTTGAAGAAACGGTCTAGGAGCGCGAAGAGACGTTTTTGGGGCACGGGCTCTTGCAAAAACGACGAGGACGGGAAATCACGAAACCAATCGGCTGGCCGTGGAAGGAACCCGATCGATTCGAAAGCAATCGATATCGTCACAATGGTATCCCTTGTCAGCTCCGCGGACAGCGGCAGCGACACCGAGAATTCACCCAGGGATGATAAATTGATCGACCAGTTACGCAGTAAACTACCCACTACATCCATAATCAAAACGTCGATGAACCCAACTCTAAGCGTCGCGAGAAAGCCCATTAAATCAGGTACAATGCAAACGATGCCTTCCACTTTTTAAAAATATGAGAATCATCGCTCAAACCTTCCCTTAAGGGGGTGTATTCTAATTTAGACATCAATTTTTTATATGTCCTTTGGAATTTAAGAAGAAAAAAAAAACTATAACATTCTTGTCTATATTTAAAAATTATACACAATTTTTTCATGTAAAAATATTTAAAATTATTGAAGATGTAGTTGTTTCAACAACAATAAGATGAACAAACTGAAAACCATTATGTAACAGTATTACGTGTCGTAACTTTTGAACTGTTGGATTTATTGCAAAAGTAACATAATCCCTTTTTGTAAGGATTTAAAAACCACATTGAATAATATATTTAAAAAAAAAGGATACAGTTGTAGTTTTTAATTTTTATTTTTGCAACTTCAATTTTGTCTCATAAAAGATTAAAAAACTACATTGAATAGTACATTGAAAAATAGGATGCAATTGTAGTATTTAATTTTAATTTTTGCTACTTTAATTTGGTCTCATGAATTTATTTTCTATCTCTAATAGTTTTTTGAGACATAATACCTTTTTGTAAAGAATGAAAAACCACATTGGATAATATAATGAAAAATAGGATGCAGTTATAGTATTTAATTTTAATTTTTGCTAACTTAATTTTTTCTCATGAATGTATTTTGTTTCTACAGCGGTTTTTGAGACATAATACCTTTTTGTAAGAATTAGAAAACCACATCAAATGATATATTAAACAAAAGAATGCAGTTGCAGTTTTTAGATGCATTAATGCATAAAAAGGAATAAAATTGAATTCAGTTTTGTATATTTAATTTTGCCTTGTAAAATTATTTTATATCTCTAACGGTTTTTGAGACATAATACCTTTTTGTAAGGATTACAAAACCATATTGAATAGTATATTGAAAAATAGAATGCAATTGCAGTTTTTAATTTTAATTTTTGCAATTTTAATTTTGCCTCATGAATTTATTTTGTATCTCTAACAGTTTTTGAGCCAAAATACCTTTTTGTAAGAATTAAAAAACCACATCAAATGATATATTAAACAAAAGAATGCAGTTGCAGTTTTTAGATGCATTAATGCATAAAAAGGAATAAAATTGCATTCAGTTTTGTATGTTTAATTTTACCCTGTGACATTATTTTGTATCTTTAACAGTTTTTGAGAAATAATACCTTTTTTTAAAAAGTAAAAAACCACATTGAATAGTGTAATGAAACATAGTATGGCAATTGCAGTTTTTAATTTTAATTTTTGCAACTTTAATTTTGTCACATGAATGTATTTGTTTCTCCAACGGTTTTTGAGACATAATACCTTTTTTTATGAATTAAAAAAAACACATTGAATAGTATATTAAATAAAGAGGATGCAGTTGCAGTTTTTAGATGCATTAATGCATAAAAAGGAATAAAATTGAATTCAGTTTGTATGTTTAATTTTGTCTTATGATATTATTTTGTATCTCTAGTAGTTTTTGAGACATAATACCTTTTTTTAAGGATTTAAAAACCACATTGAATAATATATTTAAAAAAAAGGATACAGTTGTAGTTTTTAATTTTTATTTTTGCAATTTCAATTTTGTCTCATGAAAGATTAAAAAACCACATTGAATAGTACATTGAAAAATAGGATACAATTGCAGTTTTCAATTTTAATTTTGCATCATAAATTTATTTTGTATCTCTAATAGTTTTTTGAGGCATAATACCTTTTTGTAAGAATTAAAAAACCACATCAAGTAATATATTCAACAAAAGAATGCAGTTGCAGTTTTTAGATGCATTAATGCATAAAAAGGAATAAAATTGAATTCAGTTTTGTATATTTAATTTTGCCTTGTAAAATTATTTTATATCTCTAACGGTTTTTGAGACATAATACCTTTTTGTAAGGATTACAAAACCATATTGAATAGTATATTGAAAAATAGAATGCAATTGCAGTTTTTAATTTTAATTTTTGCAATTTTAATTTTGCCTCATGAATTTATTTTGTATCTCTAACAGTTTTTGAGCCAAAATACCTTTATGTAAGAATTAAAAAACCACATCAAATGATATATTAAACAAAAGAATGCAGTTGCAGTTTTTAGATGCATTAATGCATAAAAAGGAATAAAATTAAATTCAGTTTTGTATCTTTAATTTTGCCTTGTGACATTATTTTACTTCTCTAACAGTTTTTGAGACATAATAGCTTTTTGTAAGGATTAAAAAACCACATTGAATAGTATATTGAAACATAGGATGGCTATTACTGTTTTCAATTTTAATTTATACTATTTTAATTTTGCCTCATGAATTTATTTTGTATCTCTAACGATTTTTGAAACATAATACCTTTTTGTAAAGAATAAAAAACCACATTGAATAGTATATTGAAAAATAGAATGCAATTGCAGTACATATTTCATTTTAATTTTTGCAATTTTACTTTTGTTTCATGAATTTATTTTATATCTCTAATAGTTTTTGGGACATAATACCTTTTTGTAAGAATTAAAAAACCACATCAAATAATATATTAAACAAAAGAATGCAGTTGCAGTTTTTAGATGCATTAATGCATAAAAAGGAATAAAATTGAATTCAGTTTTGTATATTTAATTTTGCCTTGTAAAATTATTTTATATCTCTAACGGTTTTTGAGACATAATACCTTTTTGTAAGGATTACAAAACCATATTGAATAGTATATTGAAAAATAGAATGCAATTGCAGTTTTTAATTTTAATTTTTGCAATTTTAATTTTGCCTCATGAATTTATTTTGTATCTCTAACAGTTTTTGAGCCAAAATACCTTTATGTAAGAATTAAAAAACCACATCAAATGATATATTAAACAAAAGAATGCAGTTGCAGTTTTTAGATGCATTAATGCATAAAAAGGAATAAAATTAAATTCAGTTTTGTATCTTTAATTTTGCCTTGTGACATTATTTTACTTCTCTAACAGTTTTTGAGACATAATAGCTTTTTGTAAGGATTAAAAAACCACATTGAATAGTATATTGAAACATAGGATGGCTATTACAGTTTTCAATTTTAATTTATACTATTTTAATTTTGCCTCATGAATTTATTTTGTATCTCTAACGATTTTTGAAACATAATACCTTTTTGTAAAGAATAAAAAACCACATTGAATAGTATATTGAAAAATAGAATGCAATTGCAGTACATATTTCATTTTAATTTTTGCAATTTTACTTTTGTTTCATGAATTTATTTTATATTTCTAATAGTTTTTGGGACATAATACCTTTTTGTAAGAATTAAAAAACCACATCAAATAATATATTAAACAAAAGAATGCAGTTGCAGTTTTTAGATGCATTAATGCATAAAAAGGAATAAAATTGAATTCAGTTTTGTATATTTAATTTTGCCTTGTAAAATTATTTTATATCTCTAACGGTTTTTGAGACATAATACCTTTTTGTAAGGATTACAAAACCATATTGAATAGTATATTGAAAAATAGAATGCAATTGCAGTTTTTAATTTTAATTTTTGCAATTTTAATTTTGCCTCATGAATTTATTTTGTATCTCTAACAGTTTTTGAGCCAAAATACCTTTATGTAAGAATTAAAAAACCACATCAAATGATATATTAAACAAAAGAATGCAGTTGCAGTTTTTAGATGCATTAATGCATAAAAAGGAATAAAATTGCATTCAGTTTTGTATGTTTAATTTTACCCTGTGACATTATTTTGTATCTTTAACAGTTTTTGAGAAATAATACCTTTTTTTAAAGAGTAAAAAACCACATTGAATAGTGTAATGAAACATAGTATGGCAATTGCAGTTTTTAATTTTAATTTTTGCTACTTTAATTTTGTCACATGAATGTATTTGTTTCTCCAACGGTTTTTGAGACATAATACCTTTTTTTATGAATTAAAAAAAACACATTGAGTAGTATATTAAATAAAGAGGATGCAGTTGCAGTTTTTAGATGCATTAATGCATAAAAAGGAATAAAATTGAATTCAGTTTGTATGTTTAATTTTGTCTTATGATATTATTTTGTATCTCTAGTAGTTTTTGAGACATAATACCTTTTTTTAAGGATTTAAAAACCACATTGAATAATATATTTAAAAAAAAGGATACAGTTGTAGTTTTTAATTTTTATTTTTGCAATTTCAATTTTGTCTCATGAAAGATTAAAAAACCACATTGAATAGTACATTGAAAAATAGGATACAATTGCAGTTTTCAATTTTAATTTTGCTTCATAAATTTATTTTGTATCTCTAATAGTTTTTTGAGGCATAATACCTTTTTGTAAGAATTAAAAAACCACATCAAATAATATATTAAACAAAAGAATGCAGTTGCAGTTTTTAGATGCATTAATGCATAAAAAGGAATAAAATTGAATTCAGTTTTGTATATTTAATTTTGCCTTGTAAAATTATTTTATATCTCTAACGGTTTTTGAGACATAATACCTTTTTGTAAGGATTACAAAACCATATTGAATAGTATATTGAAAAATAGAATGCAATTGCAGTTTTTAATTTTAATTTTTGCAATTTTAATTTTGCCTCATGAATTTATTTTGTATCTCTAACAGTTTTTGAGCCAAAATACCTTTATGTAAGAATTAAAAAACCACATCAAATGATATATTAAACAAAAGAATGCAGTTGCAGTTTTTAGATGCATTAATGCATAAAAAGGAATAAAATTGCATTCAGTTTTGTATGTTTAATTTTACCCTGTGACATTATTTTGTATCTTTAACAGTTTTTGAGAAATAATACCTTTTTTTAAAGAGTAAAAAACCACATTGAATAGTGTAATGAAACATAGTATGGCAATTGCAGTTTTTAATTTTAATTTTTGCTACTTTAATTTTGTCACATGAATGTATTTGTTTCTCCAACGGATTTTGAGACATAATACCTTTTTTTATGAATTAAAAAAAACACATTGAGTAGTATATTAAATAAAGAGGATGCAGTTGCAGTT